CCCTGCCCTCTGGGCACTATGCAGCAGCCTCTGCGCGTCCTGCCCGTCCACGCAGGCCACTTGCAGCCCTGCTTGGGCTTGTCACGCTCCTCAGCCGGCCTCTCCTTGTACCTGCACGTCATGGTGCCAGGCCGTCCACAGCGCCCTGGTCTGGCAGTGTGAGAGCCGGCCCGAGGAGAGGGTTTCACACACTCACCCCCGCCCCAGGTGGTACTGCAGTTGGCAGCCACCGGACACGCAGGGCTGCCCTGTCGTGCTTATATCTGACCCTTTGCTGTGCAGATACAGTGAGTTTTGGGGGATCGTGGGCTTCCGGGCGGTGCTCAGGCAGTACCCGGTGGAGGGCAGGTCAGTGCAAGGGCTTGAGGAGATGCTGCCGGGAGTCCCTTGGAAAGCTGCGTAGTGCTGGGGTTCTTCAGGGCTCCTCCTGTAGTGCTCAGGGGTCCAGGTGATGCCTGGGAGGAAGCCCGGCTGGGGGTCCGGAGGTGCATGAGTGGTGACCACTGTTACTGTTTCCTGCCAGCACTGTGCAGTCTTTATTTCTGGGGGCGGGGTACACCCCACCGAGTGGTGCTCGGGGCTGACTGTGCTCTGCACTCAGGGCTCACTCCTGGTGGGGCTTGAGGGGCCATAGGGGGCGCCGGGGATTGGAACTGTGTCAACGCATGAAGGCAAGCGCCCTCTTTGCTCTGTTCTACAGCCTTCGGGTTATTTATTTATTTTTATAGGGAATAATCTCCCAGGAAGTGAGATGAAACAAAACAAACAAAACAAAACAAAAATGGCCTCTTTCAGACCAGAGTGATAGCACAGCGGGTAGGGCACTGGTCTTGCACAGCTGACCTGGGTTCGATTCCTGGCATCCCATCTGGTTCTCCGAGCATGGCTTAGAGTGATTTCTGAGTGCAGAGCCAAGGATAAGACCTGAGCATTGTCAGGGGTTGCCCAAAAACAAATGGAAAAAAAAAAAATGAAATAGCTTCTTCCCCATTGACTCTGCATGTTAAAGGGTAAGGAAAAGATTAGGCAGAAGCCAGAGATACAGAGATGAGAGAGACGGTGATGTCACGTGGAGGTAGAACTGTCCCTTCACTGAACGTAACTGACTGTGTGAACATACACAGTGACTCGCCAGCACGGCTCAACTCCATGGCTTCCCGAGGGGGTGGCGGCACCCCCGAACTCCTGTCCCCAGCTCGCATGCTGCCCCTCCTTGGGAAGTTGGTTCCTGGCCCCAGTTTCCTCTGAGTTCCTGCTTTATCTCCATCACTCCCTCTCGCCCCTCCCCGAGTCCGTGATGCGTCGGCTGTGTGGCAGACAGTCGGGGGAGAGGGAACAGACAGCCAGTTAGGGAGACCGGGTGGAAGCGCTAGAGGGATGCGCTCTTGGGTGCCATGGAAACCCAGACTCAGCGAGGTGCTAGCTCAGCCATGGGGATGGGGCGGTGGGGGAGGCAGGCATGGGACTGCGCCCAAACACGGGCCAGGGTGTGGCTGTGGGGGTTTGGGGGGCAGGGCAGGGGAGAGGAGGTGGCCAGGAAACTGCCACCAGCCCTGCCCCTGCGTCCCCGCCCTGGGCTCTGACGGAGGCAGTAGGTGATAGTCCCCGAGGCAGATACCAGGCCCGCCACGCCACCATCCACCACTATTGTCCCCGTCACCATCTTGTGAGTGCGGCAATCACCATGACCTTCATCACCCACCAGTCCCTGTCCCTGTCCCTGCCTCAGTCTTGTCCTGGTCACTTGCGCCGTCGCTCTGTCCTCACCATCGCCGTTGTTCCTGTGTCACACCGATAGCTGTGTCGCCCTCAGCGTCACCAGTAGCAGCCGTCTGCCCTGCATCCTGCCCGCCCCCCTCCAGCCTGCCCTGTCCGGCAGCCCCCTTCGGCATCGTTCCTGTGCTAGGATTGTTGTCACCCCACCATCACTGCCGTGACCACTGCTTCCATTGTCTTGGTTTTGGGGCCACATCCCACAGTGCTCAGGGCTTTCTTCTGGCTCTGTGCTCAGCAGTCACTCCTTGTGGTGCGTAGGGAACGCGTAGGGGGCTGCAGGGTCTGCTGGCGCTTGACAGGCACCCACCGCACCGTAGCTGCAGCCCCCACTACCATTGTTACTGTCGTTGTCATCACCATGCTCGTCATCATCATACTGGCATTACGCCACAGCCTCACCACTGCTGGTACAGTCTCATTGTCACGTGACCGTTGTCACCACCAGGATCAATCTTCACCATCGTTGCCCATCACCATTGTCACCACTATCACTGTCACCACTATCCTCTTCAACATCATCACTGTCACCATTGTTTTTATCATCACTATTGTTGTCACCACCATTGTCTTCACGACACTGTCACCATTGTCACCACTGTCATCAGTGTCACCACCGTTGTCTTCATCACTGTCGCCATTGTCACCACCATCAGTGTCCCCACCGTTCTCTTCATCATTTCTCTTGCCACCACAGCGTTACTGTCTCTACTGTTCCTCCACCGTCACCATTGCTGTATCCCCACATCATCACTGTCACTCGTTCTCACCATCATCACTACCGCACGGTTGTCATTCTCACTAGTCACCTTTTTTTTGGGGGGGGGTCACACCCGGCAATGCTCAGGGGTCACTCCTGGCTCTGCACTCAGGAATTACCCCTGGCAGTGCTCAGGGGACCATATGGGATGCTGGGAATCGAACCCAGGTCGGCCACAGGCAGGGCAAGCACCCTGCTGGCTGTGCTGTCTCCAGCCCACGTCAGAATCGTCTCCATCCTCTGCACACTTTCACTGCTGCATGGTTTTCACCATCACCACCATCCGCACCACCATCTTCACCACCATCTGCTCACCTCTGCTTAGTAGAAGGGGTATCATTAAGTCAGTGACTCCAACCCGAGGTTTTTGTTTTGTTTTATTTTTTTGCTTTTTGGGTCACACCCAGCAATGCACAGGGGTTACTCCTGGCTCTGCACTCAGGAATTACTTCTGGTGGTGCTTGGGGGACCTTATGGAATGCTGGGAATTGAACCCGGGTCAGCCATGTGCAAGGCAAACGCCCTACCCGCTGTGCTATCGCTCCAGCCCCTCCAACCCGAGGTTTAGGGTACTGGAGTAGGGAAGAGAGATTTCTTCTGTGGACTGGTTGACTCCCAGCACTCCTTGTACCCCAAATTCCTCTCCCATTCCTGTCTGCTCCTCATCTTTGCCCCTTATTGGTGGGGTCTTCCCAGAACCTGCCAGTCAGAAATGTGTAGAGTGGTGTGGCTTCGTCTGGAGGCCTCAGGAAGTCCAGAGAAACGTGGAGTCTGATCTGTTGCCTCCTGCCAGACCCTCTCTGCCCAGGTCACACGCCTGCGCCAGCAGATTGTCCTCCGCCTGGGAATCAGACAGCTCATGCGGGACCCAATTCCCTCTTTGTTGGTATTTAGTTTTATTTTTGTGGATGGGGGGGCCACATCCAGTGGTGCTCAGGGCTGGCTTCTGGTGGGTTCAGAGGGCCATATGGGGTGCTAGGAACTGACAGCTGCGTGCAAGGCAAGTGCCTGACCTGCTGTGCTCTTGTTCCATCCCTGTTGAAATGGAATGTCAGTTTGCTTTCTCTGGGTCCTCGGTGTGCTTCGGGCATTTGAGTATGGGGCGTTGAGGGAAGCACCGTGACTTGGCTGGCAGCAAGTGAACTTCTTGGTTTCTCAACCCAAACGGCCAGATGTGGGGGAAAGGACGAGGAAGTTGTGGTTTAGATACACGGTGGACACTGCGCAACCCCGAGAAAGCAGTCATGCCCTTTGCAGCACCACGGAGGGAGCTAGTGTCATGCCGAGTGAAGTCAGGCAGAAGGGAAGAAAGCAAGCACCCGCCCATTGTATTATTTCTGTACTGTATCTTGCCCCCAGAAGGTGTCTTTGACAAGTAAAGCTGGGACCAGAGAGCTTAGTGATGAGGGGGCTTGCCTTGCACATGGCTGATGCCCCTGTTCCATGCCTGGCACTGCACAGGGTCACCACCAAGAGTGACAGCTGTGCACAGAGCCTGGAGTAAGCCCTGAGTACCTCGGGCTGTGGCCCCAAAACAAAACAAGAAGACACGTTAAAGTTAAAAGATGCTGTCATAGGAGCTGGAGAACTAATCCAATGGGCAAGGTTTCGTGCTCAGATCTTACTCCTGACTCTGCACTCGGGGATCACTCCAGTGCGCTCGGGACCATATGGGGTGTTGGTAATTGACCTTGGTGTGGGGCTGATCCCCTGGGCACCAGATGGGGGAAGTCATCATCTTCTTTTTTTTCTTTTTCGTTTTGGGTCACACCCGGTGATGCTCAGGGGTTACTTCTGGCTCTGCACTCAGGAATTACTCCTGGCTGTGCTCAGGAGACCATATGGGATGCTGGGAATCAAACCAGGGTCAGCCGCATGCAAGGCAAACACCCTCCCTGCTGTGCTATCGCTCTGGCCCTGGGGGAAATCTATGTTTGCCTTTTCTTCATCCACGGTTTACTATACTACCCTAAAAATGCTGTCTTTAAAAAAATTGGGGAGGGGGATGGGTGGAGTCATAGTGTAGTAGGGTGTTGGCCTTGCGTGTGATCTCAGGCATCCGCATCCCACATGGTCCCCCTAGCACCTCCAGGAGTAATTACTGAGTGCAGATCCAGGAGTAACCTCGAGCATCACCGGTGTGACCCAAAAAGCCAGAAAGAATTGGGAGGAGAGGGACTTGGGGGCCAACATCTCGTGCTGGGAGGAACCATGGGATGCGGGGTGGAAAGTCATAAAGCCCGGGCCAGCGCCTTCCCTGCACCCCGTGCTCCCTCCTCTACCTGCCCCGTTGACGACCTGGGGAGTCTATGGACCCTGGACCGTGGGTGGGCTCAGACTCACTCGGCTGTCTGTCGGTGACAGCAGCCCAGAGGCCTTGGCCCAGCACCCTCATTCACACCTCATTGCTTTGCTGAAGTTTAATGCGGCTCTTTCCCCCCACCTTTCCTTTCCTTTGTTGCTTTAGTGGCCGATCATCTCGGCTGTGACCCCCAGACGCGATTCTTCGTACCCCCAAACATCAAACAGTGGATTGCCTTGCTTCAGAGGGGAAACTGCACCTTCAAGGAGAAGATATCACGGGCTGCGTTCCACAATGCCGTGGCTGTCGTCATCTACAACAACAAGTCCAAGGAGGAGCCGGTCACCATGACCCACCCAGGTGAGTGGCGGGCAGATCTCCAGCTGGTTGGTGGGTGGGGCTTCAGTATTGATAAGTCTTTGATCAGTGTACGGGGCGGGGCATCCAGTGGGCATGGCTTCGTGGCCCTAGCCGCATCCTTGTCATTCCCATTCCCAAGTCAATTTTCGTTTCCTGCCAGGATGAAATCAGTGATTTCAGGGGCCTCCTTTTGTTGAGATTGCGCATCTGTTTTCCTTCAGTTGAACTATTTTCTTTCTCTTTATCCAGAAGAGTCTGGAAAACTTGGTATTTACAAAGTAGGTCTCTACCAATCCACCAACCACCTCTCACCCACCCCCATGGTTTTGTGTTTTTGACTTTTTTGGGGTTTTTTGTGTGTGTGTGTGTGTGTGTGTTTTGAGGTAAAGGGAAGCAAATTGTTCCAGGTGATTCATTGTTCCAAATGATTCCTCCCAGTCATCACCTGGGCTTCCCAGGGATGACCTGTTTGAGGATGACTTTACTTCCTCTTGATAAATGCAGAAATTGACTTTGTTCTGTTGGGGGACCAGTACATCCACCTTTATTTCTGGTGGAAGCATTAAAGATATTTCCAGCGTAACCATCATTTTTATTGCAGTTATTTTTGCATCGTTTTCAGCAACTGTTGTTTCTCCTAACATGGTTCTGCGGTTCCTTGCTATTGCCTCTTCTTGACTTTTGTCAGATATTCTTTGAAGGCATTTTGTTGATTCACAGCAGAATTGTGAGGAAAGTACAGTATTCTCACACCTCCAGCAGTCATTCCTCCCTCCCGTGCCCAGGCCTCCTCCGGGCTTTCTGCTCAGGGGCATTCCTGGTGGGACTCTGGGAGCCCCTGGTATGCTGGGGATCGAACCGGGGGTCACAGCGTCCAAGGCAAGTGCCCTCCCTGCTGGACTATTGCTCCAGCCCAGTTATTATTGTTGAACTGGAATCAATGGGGCCTCTTAGAACATTCTGAGATCGGTTTACTCAACGTTTCTCATTTTTAGTACTCATCACTCCCGTATGTTTTTTTTGGTTTTTCCCATTTCTGAGGAGGCCCTTTCTCGCCCTTATCTCTCTAGTTCCTTTCTTGCTGATAATGTTTCTAGTGGATTGTGAGTCAAAAAATTTCCATCTGAGAAAGTGAATATCCCATTTACTGGTACTACCAGGGGGGTCCCAGGAAGTGGGGTCCTGGGGAGCCGCCCCTAGAGACGGATTCTCTAGGAAGCAGATAAACCGAGGGAGACACACTGGCCCAGGGGGCAGCTGAGGTATTGTTCTTAGCACAAAAGTGGGTTTGTTCTGGGGAGATGTATCTGGTAAGGTAATATAGTGATGAGGCAGGTGCCTTGACCAGGGATCACACATTGGTGCTGATGTTTTCCTGGAGACCCACATCTGTTTTTCTTCTCCTCTGCTCCTCCTTACAACTGCTGTGCCTCAAACTCGTCAGCACTCATCATAATCCATTGGGGAGACATGAGGAGCCACAAAACTGGCATGTCACAACAGAGGAGAGTGTCTTTTGTTTTATTTTTTATTTTTTAAATTTTTATTAGTGAAACACCATGAGGTACAGTTGTAGACTTACAAATTTTTGTGCTTGGGTTTCAGTTATACAGTGATCAAGTACCCATCCCTCCACCAGTGCCCTTTCTCCACCACCACTGATCCCAGTATCCCTCCCACCCCCCATCCCTCCTATCCCATCCTGCCTCTGTGGCAGGGCATTCCCTTTTGTTCTCTCTGAGGAGAGTGTCTTTAGGTCTCTCTGCAAGTTGCAAAACCCAGGAGCCAGGATTGGGGGTGCCCACAGCTGGGCACTATCTCGCCTGGGCCGGTGTGAGGGAAGGCTGAGGAAAGGGCTCAGTCCAGGAACTTCTCATGCAGGAGCCCCCTGTGCCCTGAATCTTGACCCGCTCAGGATACTGCCCCAAACTTCAGCCCCTCTGAAGAGATAGCACAGTAGGGAGGGCTTGCCTTGCATGAGACTGACCCAGGTTTGATTCCCAGCATCCCATAGGGTCCCCTGAGCACAGCTAGAAGTAATTCCCGATTGCAGAGCCAGAAGTCAGCCCCCAAATTAAAACAACAAAAAATCTCAGAAAAAAACCTCTGCCCCTGACCCGCACCCCCCAAAAGACCAGGCTGGGTAAGGAAAGTCCTCGGTTTACCACGGGACTTAGGACGTGACTGTGAGTGATAAATTCCTTCAGCCTGGGATGGGACTCAGCTTCACCATCACGGTGACGCGGAGTCAGAGATTGGGCAAGCTCCTGAGCACTGGGAAGGGGTTTCCAGAGGCGTGAAGCGTGAGCCAGCTGGGAGGAGGGGCCCCCCACTGTGGGCGTTTGAGCTGGGGAATCTGGAGCCGGAAAGTGCTGTCCAACGTGCACAACACCGTCACACTCTCACACGCTTTCTCACTACTTAGCATTGAGAGTCGTATGTATACACACACACATACACACACACACACACACGCTTTCTCACAGGTTCAGCATTATGTTGACTATTGGGCTTCCCACATACATGTGTGCATGCACGCTCACCCAGTCACACACCCCCTCACACTCCCACATTCATAAGTCACACACACACTTGCACACATTCTCTCTCTCCGACACACGCTCATCCCGTCACACACGAGCCCTCACACTCTCCCGTACTCTCACACACACATTCTCTACACTCCCAGTCACGTGCCCCCCCGTGCTTCCCCAGACTCAGGTACTCACGTACATACACACTCGCCCAGTTATGCATCCCCTCACACTTTCAGAGTTACACACATTCACACACATTTTTTTCTTACACTTTCACACACATTCTTTTTTTTCAAAGATTACAATTTTTTTTTTTATTAATAGATGCTTTCTTTCCATTAAAAATTATTTTGGCATGTTTCCTTTTAGGATTTAACACTCTGATTATCTTTAAAATCTAAGCAATGTATTATCTTTTTTTTTATTGAATCATTGTGAGATAGCACTGTAGCACTGTTGTCCTGTTCATCGATTTGCTCGAGAGGGCACCAGTAAGATCTCCATTGTGAGACTTGTTGTCACTGTATTAGGCATATTGAATATGTCACGGGGAGCTTGCCAGGCTCTGCTGTGAGGGCTGGATACTCTCGGTAGCTTTCCGGGCTCTCCGAGAGGGTTGGAGAAATCGAACCCAAGTTGGCCACATGCAAGGCAAACACCCTACCCGCTGTGCTGTCGCTCCAGCCCTGGCCATACCACCCTGAACACACCTGATCGCGATCTTGAATCACTGTGAGATAGTTTGAATCATGAATCACTGTGAGATAGTTTGATCTTGAATCACTGTGAGATAGTTTGAGTTTCAGCTGTACAATGATTGAACACCCATCCCTCCACCGGTGCATATTCCCCACCATCAATGTCCCCAGTATTCTGCCCCCCCCGATCCCACCTCTCCCCCACCCTCTATGGCAGACAATCTCCCCCATACTCTCTCTCTGCTTTTGGGCATTACACACATTCTCTCTCACATACATTAATAATTCTCTCACATTCACACATACTCTCACACACATTCTCACACACACTCACATCCACACACATGTTCTCTCTTACTCCTACAGTTACCCGGTCACACCCCTTATGCTTTGCTGCTTCCTCCTGCCCTCACCCACCCACACTCAGGCTCTCCCTGTCCCCCATCCGCCATCCCCACGCCCCGGCTGCCTCTCCTCTGCGGGAGGTTGCGACCTTCTGTCCCTCGGCAGGACTGGTCTCTCGCTATCTGTCCTGTGCCCAATGTGGCAGAACCCCTCGGGGGTCGTGGGGTGTAGATGGTGGCGAGTGTCTCAGGAGAAGGCCAGCATCTGCTCCACACGAGCAGGCAGGCCTCCGGGACCCTGTGCTTGGGACACACCCTCTGTCCCCTCCTCCTGTTCTGGGATGTGCCCAGGCCCCATGTTCTCCCAGTGTCCCTCAGGGCCTCAGGGGTCCCGTCTACCCCTCTCACCCACACCCCGAGTGACCTTTGTCATGGGGCCTTTCAGCTCTCGGTGTCCTGCGCACCTGGCGGGGGCCTGGTGTGGGAAGAGGCATCTCTATTCTGGACCAAGGGCATCTCAGGAGAGCCTCTTGCCCTTTCTCTGTTGGCGCCAGCACCCGTCATGGTGTCAGTCACAGCAGCCCAGGACGCGGCCTCACGCCTTCCCTAATCCACCCCCCTCCACAGACCGCCAGGAGGGTGATAAGCCTGAGGTGTGCAAAGGCTGTTCAGTTGAGGGGCTGGAGTGATAGCACAGCGGGTAGGGCGTTTGCCTTGCACATGGCCAACCTGGGTTTGATTCCCAGCATCCCATATGGTCCCCCAGGCACTGCCAGAGGTAATTCCTGAGTGCATGAGCCAGGACTAACCCCTGTGCATCGCTGGGTGTGACCCAAAAAGCAAAAAAAAAAAAAAAAAAAAAAAGGCTGTTTGGCTGAGCCAGGGGTGGGGGGCTTCCACGGGGGAGGGCAAGAACTGAAGGGAGAACCCATTCATTCATGAGGGCAGAGGCCCTGGGCTCTCCGCCTCACACACCAGCTGTGAGACAAGCCCCAGGCCCACCGCCCCGCCCCACTGCTTCTTGAGACTTCCAGAAACTTCCCTCCCTCCCCCACTCGCCCAGATCAAGCCTTGGGTGTGCTTCTCTGTGTTCAGGTAGGTCAGGCTTGATGCAGAGTTCAAGGGCCTGCTTGTGGCCCACCCTGTTTCTGCCCACGGTGCTTCCTAGGGTCCACCCGCCAGGAGTGATCCTTAGTCACAGTGCTCAGAGTTAGCTCTGACCTCCAGTGGGCGTGGCCCCAAACCCAAACATCAAAGCCCCAAACAAACACATAGCATTGATTTCTCCAGTCTCCCCAGGCCCCCGGGCCACTGCTTTCACTGACCAGAAGTTCTAAAATATCCCCCAGACACCCAGGATGCTAACAGCCTCCCCACTGTCTGTTTCATTTTGGGGAAATTTCCAGAATGCTCTGGGTTTGTAAGTTCCCCAAAACCACGGTGGCTGACGTGAGCCAAAGTTTTTATGCTAAGGTGTTGAAAATTCTCCGTGAAATTTGTCCTTGGATACTGGTTTTGAGAGGGGAGAAAACAGAAAGACCCAAGCAGGCTTAGGATGAGGGAGGCAGTGGGGGGGGGGGGAGAGGGGGAGGGAGGGAACTTGCCTTACACGTGACTGACATTTGTTTGATTCCCGGCCCCTCATAGGGTCCCTCAGGCCCTGCTAGGAGTGATCCCTGAGCACAGAACTAGGAGTAAGTCCTGAGCACAGAGCCAGGAATGATCCCTGAGTATAGAACAAGGAATGATTGCCAAGCATGGCGCCATGAGTCAGCCCTGAGTGCAAGGCCAGGTGTGATTTCAGAGCACAGAGCCAGGAGCACAGAACCAGGAGTCAGCCCTGAGCACAGAACTGGGTGTCAGCAATGAGCACAGAGCCAGGAGTCAGCCTGGAGCACTACCGGTATGGCCCCAAAACTAAAACAAATGAGAATCAAAGGTCAAGGTCTTTGACTTGTGGGACCCTTAACAGATCTTGGTGTGGAGGCTTCAGGCCCTGGGTGCAGAAGGTCCCTGTCTGCACAGTCTGGGGTTTCCTGTGACTCACGGCCACGGGTGCATTCAGGACTGCGGGAGGGAATGCTCAAGAATGCCTCTGAGAGTCTGGCTCTGACCTCGTCAGGAAGCCGTTGGCTTAGGGATTTCTCAGGGCAGGGCGCTTGAGGAGGAGGAAACCAAGATGTGATCTGGACAGCAGTTACCGGGTGCCAATTCTCTTGCCCACCCCAGTGCTTCAGCTCAACCCCCGCAGAAGAAGAAGGTCCCCAAAGTATAACCCCCTTCCAGGGGTCCTTCGCGCCAACATGGCCAACCCGAGTTCGATTCCTCTGCCCCTCTCCGAGACCCCGGCAAGCTACCGAGTATCTCACCTGCACGGCAAAGCCTGGCAAGCTACCCATGACGTATTCTATATGCCAAACACAGTAACAACAAAGTCTCACAATGGAGGTGTTACTGGGCCCGCTCGAGAAAATCGATGAACAACAGAAGGACAGTGACAGGGGTCCTTATCTACAGAGAAGGCCCCAAGTCGTGGGTGCTTCCCTACCCCTGGAAATAGTGGGCGTGACCTGCAGAAGCAACCTCGTCTGCTCGATCCGTACCATTCAGCCCTGGGACGCAGCCTTCCCTGTCCACTACGGGTGTGCTCTGTTCTGGGTGTACACATCCCCTTTTGGGGAGTCTCTCCTTGGTTCTTTTTTTTTTTTCAGTTTTTGGGCCACACCCACGATGCTCGGGTTACTCCAGGTTCTGCACTCAGGAATCACTCTGGGGTGCAGGAGATGGAACTTGGGTTGACCATGTGCAAAGCAAGCGCCCTACTCACTGGGAGTGTCATCATTTAGGGGATTCGTATCTGAAACTACTTCCTCTTCTCCTTTCCCCTTTTGATTGTGTTGGTGGGTGGTGAGTGGGTGTGTTTGGGTTACAACTGGCTGCACTTAGGGTTGACTCATAACTCAGTACTCGGGCTGACTCATGGCTCTTGTACTTGGGCTCACTCCTGACTGCTCACGGGCACTCCTGACTCTGCTCGGGGCTTCCCGCTGCGTTCAGGGCTGCTTCTTGGTTCTGTGTGTAGGAGGCATTCTAGGGAGTGCTGGGGGAACCCTGTGGGATGCTAAGGACCGAACCTGGGTTCTCTATGTAAAGCAAGTGACCCCTCCGCCCCGTACTCTCTCTCCAGCCTCTTGAAGAGCACTTACAAGCTGGAAGTGGTGTCGCCAGCTAAACGCTGGGGAGGGATCTGTCTCCTGTGGCTTCGCTACAGGAAGGGGCCAGACCTGCTCCTGACACCCTATATATCAGGGTTTGGTCCCTGCTACCCCTCAGGGCTCCTGAGCCCCTCCAGGAGTGACCCCTGAGCACAGAGCCAGGAGGAAAAGCCTGAGTGCCACCAGGTGTGGCCCCAAAAGAGCCGACACAGCTAATGTTCCAGAGAGGAGTTCGCACAGTAGTGCGGCCAGGAGGGCGTTCGCCTCGCACGGGACTGACCTGTCCCTGGCACCCCACAGGGTCCCCAGGCACTGCCAGGAGTATTTACTTAGGGTAGCGCAGAGCCAGGAGGAACCCCTGAACACTGCCGCTTGTGGCCCCCCCTATCCAAATCCTCCGCTCTCAGAAAGAATGTTCCAGCAAGTTTGTTTGCCACCTTCCCTGTTTTCGGTGGGTTTAGTCAGGGTCCGTTTCACGCTCCTCGCCGTGCTCTCCCCGGCCGGGCGCTGTTGGGCTGCTGTGGCTCGTGGCCCAGCACCCAGGCCTCCCTTCCCCCCAGGCACAGGGGACATCATCGCAGTCATGATCACGGAGCTGCGGGGCAGGGACATCCTGAGTTACCTGGAGAGGAACGTCTCTGTGTTCATGACCATCGCTGTGGGCTCGCGGATGCCCCCCAAGAACATCAGCCGCGGCTCGCTGGTCTTCGTGTCCATCTCCTTCATCGTGCTCATGATCATCTCGTCCGCCTGGCTGATCTTCTACTTCATCCAGAAGATCCGCTACACGAATGCCCGCGACAGGAACCAGGTGAGCTCAGGCCCCGACGGGCCTCCCAGGCAGCAGAGTCGGGAGTGGACGCGGTATAGAGGGGTATCGTTGGATTTTTTAATCTTTCTCCATTTGCTAAAAATGGCCCTTTCGGTCTCTGGCAGGGATAGGAGCCTCCTCCCTGCAGTGCTCGGCTCCCTCCTCCCCTAGCACAGCCAGGGGTGGACTGACGAGAAAAATTTAAATAAGATATAAAATAGCTTTTGGGAGGATGTTGAGTGGTTACACCCTGGCACTGCTGTGGCTAATCCGGCCTGAGCTCAGATGCTCCCGCTGCTAGTGCTCAGGTGCTTATTCCCGCTCTGTGCTGGAGAGCAACCCCGAGTGACATCAACAGGCTGTTCCTGGCTCAGCGCAGGACCGCCCCCTTGTGGGAGGAGGCCCCCAGGCGTTTCAGTGGGTTAGAAATAAACCTGCCCAAGTACATGGAAGCTCTTCCAATCACTTGGGATATCGTAAGTAAGTGGAGTGTGTGATAGGAGCTAGCTGGGTCTAGTCATTGGAAATACCATAGTTAGAGGGAACATGGGGCCTGCAGCCCCAGTGGGGACAGTCCCAAGCCCTGCCTTGAGTTATTCCTCAGCACAGAACCAAGAGTAACTTGTGAGCTTGCAGGTGTGAGGAAGACCCCCAAACACCCAAATAGTAACAAAATAACCAAGGAAGAAATGCCACAAAGTTGCCTCTTTTATTCTCAAATTCTTGTGTATCTGTCAGGGACCTCTCCCAACTTGGTGCTGGGGATCAAATTAAAATACTTTTCCTTGGGGCCGGAGAAATAGTGCAGCGGGTAGGGCGTTTGCCTTGCATGTGGCCCACCTGAGTTTGATCCCCAGCACCCCATGTGGTCCCCAGACCTGCAAGGAGTGATTCCTGAGTGATGAGTCAGGAGTAACCCCTGAGCATCACTGGCCGTGACCCAAAAACCTAAAAAAAAAGTCCTCAAATTCTTTTTCTTGGAGGGCCAAAGAGTACAGTGTATAGGATGCTTGCCAGAGTAACCCCTGAGCATCAGTTGTTTTGACCCAAAAACACAAAAAAATTTTTTTTCTGGGGCCAGGGAGATAGTCAAGGGATGAGGGCCCTTGCCCTCTGTGTGGCTGGCATCCAGGTTTGAATCTCCCGAGCACTGACAGCTGCTGAGCACAGAGCCAAGGGACCACCAGGCGTGCTTGGGAGCAGAGCCAGGAACAGCCCTGGAGCACCACTGGGGGTCTCTGCCGAGCACAGAGCCAGCACTATCCCTCGAGACTGGGGGTGGTGGCCCAGAAACGGAAGAACAAAGAAGAGAAAAAGGACCTTTTCCCTTAGTGGGCCAGAACCCGTGCAGTGGACTTAGAGGCCCCGTGTGTTGGTTTTCATGTTTGTTCCATTTCAGCTGGGGTGGTCCACAGCTGTCTGAGCTACGATGGTCCCCTCCTCCACGCACCCAGCCCGAGTGGGAGAATATGGGTAGTGTTCCTCCATGGGTTTTACTCTAGGAGAGTGGACACCTTCTCCCTGAACACTAGGTCCACGGAGGCCATTTTGTTGAAGGAAGGTGGGGGCGGGGGAGGGCGCTGTTGTGTGCAGTAGTTCAGTTTCCCAGCCAGGACCGACTCAGGCTGCCCTCCCAGATCGCTCAAGCATTATTTCTGGCAGTGCTCAGGTAACACACCGGATCTCGGGTTGGCTGTGTGGAAGGCAGGCACCCACCCGCTGTCCTCCCTTCAGCCTCGCTATTTCTTTGTTTCGGGGTTACACGTGACAGAGCTCGAGGCTCCTCCCATCCTTACCCCTGAGTTCTCTCCCGGTGATGCTCAGGGAACTATACAAGCCCACGGTGTCAGGGCCAGAATGGGGTCACCTCCTGCGTGCAGAGGCCTGACATGCTCCAGCCTGATCGTTTGGGGACCACCGTCAATGGTGCTCAGGGCTAACTCGTGCCTCTGTGCTCAGGAGTTACTCCTGGTGGACTAGGTATGGTATTGGGGAATGAACCTGGGTTGGCTGCAGGCAAGGCAAGTGCCTTGCGCCAGGAAAGAGGGGCTTAATTATTGGTATGAAAATAAGTTGGGGCTGGAGCGATAGCACAGCGGGTTGGGTGTTTGCCTTGCACGCGGCTGACCCGGGTTTGATTCCCAGCATCCCATATGGTCCCCTGAGCACCGCCAGGAGTAATTCCTGAGTGCCAGGAGTAACACCTGAGAATCACCGGGTATGACCCAAAAAGCAAAAAAAAAAAAAAAAAACACCCAAAACCATAAGTTGAGCAGGGAGGGATAGCCCCAGCCAGGGCTGGAGAAAACACAGAGAGGGAGTTGGGGGATTTGGTTTGAAGCCCAGCAGTTATGGGGTGATGACACAGCGCTGCCAAACCTCAGTGGATCCGATCTTACGTCACGTTATCCTCCAAACCATCAGACCTGGCATTCCTAGGACCTCTCTTGGCTCAGCTGGGTCAGTGGGCACTAAACTTGGGAGACTTAGATTTTATTCATGATCAATGAATAGAGGATCAGAGAGAGCAGACAGCAGGAAAAGCACTTGCCTTGCACACGGCCGACCGGGGTTCCATCCCAGGTACCCCATATGGTCCCTCGAGCCCCTCCAGGAGTGATGCCTGAGCACAGAGCCTGGACTAAGTCCTGAGCACTGGGGGTTGTGGCCCCAATCCTCATCCGCCACCAAAATAAATGAGAAATAAAGGGATATGTAAAGTTCCCCTCTGTGTACACATTGCAGTGGACCAAAATCACAAGTTCAAAGTTGGCCACAGCAGTGCGTGGAGGTTGAATTCAGTATATAATATAAAAGCATCACCACAGATCACGGGAGTGATGAGCTTTGGGAGAACCAGGAAGGCGCTGTGCTGGGCCTGTTGCAGGCTTCCTGTCATGATACATTTCATGTGAAGCAGATCTCATAATAAACAGCAATTAAACTGCAAATCTTGCAAGTAAACTCAGGCCAAGTTTTCTCTTTTCATAACTTCCTCATGGTGTGGGAGGCTCAGGGTCAGGACTTGAGAAGTAACTGGTTAAGAAAAGTGAATGACAGCTTCGGTTCTGTTTCAGGGGTTCGAGCGACAGGACAGTGGGTAGGGTGCTTGTCTTGCACCGGCTGACCATATTGGCCATATAGTCCCCTGGGCACAGAGCCAAGTGTCAACCCTGAGCACAGAACCAGGAGTCAGCCCTGAGCACAGAACCAGGAGTCATCCCTGAGCACAGAGCCAGGAGTAAGCACAAAGTGGAACAAAACAAAACAAAAAAACCCCACAGACCCAATAAAACAAACAAGAAAACGCAGGGTCATAAATGAGCCTTGGGACACTTTCCATTTTTCTTTCCTGTGTTTTGTGTGTCCGTTTTGAGGGGTCATGCTTGGAGGCTCTGGGGACCCCTCCCAGCCACTCTCAGATCAGTGCAGAGGTCCAGAGTTGGGATGCTGGGGTAGGCTAGGCCACGCCAGTGTCGCTTGGGGATTCTGTATTGTTTCCAGATCAGAGCAGGGCCCGCAGTGTGCCAGGCCTGCCAGTGCCTTACCCGGTCAGCCTCATTCTGAAGACTTGGTGAGGCTCGGTGCACTGGAGGGGCTCAAACCGCCACCACCGGCTGCCAGTGCCGTGGGAGTTGTGGTGTGTATTGATCGGAACCCGCAGTCTGGGGGCTGTTTACCCTGCACGCAGCCGACCCAGGCTCGATCCTGGCACCTGGTCAGGTTCCTTTGGCTGGCCAGGATGATCCTGAGTGCAGAGCCAGGAGGAAGCCCTGAGCACAGGTGGATGTGATCCCTGAGCACCGCCAGGAAAGGAAGAGAGAGAGAAAGGGACCAGAGCTGTAGTGCGGCAGGGAAGGTGTTTGCCTGGACAGAGGCTGGTCCGGGTAGATCCCAGCGCCTACAAAGCACTGCCCTTAGTGCAGAGCCAGGAGAAAGCCCTGAGCATCATCCAGTGTGGGCCCCCCTAGAACAAAAGAAGAAGAAGAAAAGTAGGAGAAAAAAAAAAAGAAAACACCGTGTGGGCTGGGGAACAGTGGCTCCTGGCGCTGCAAGCAGGTTGGACCTTGGAGTCCGATCGTGTGTCTGGTCACACCTGGTCTCTGCAAACACCTGGTGCGACCATCCCACTGCCTTGCAGGGCCGTAGTTAAGGTGACCCCAGCTCCCCCAACCCTCTGTCTCTGGTCACCCACCTCATGCCGGTCAGCCTCCTGTTTGCAGCCTGTCTGGGGTACGGTGGGCAGCACAGCCCCTGGAAGGTGCTGGATCCCCGGAGTTGGCGAACAGAGCCTGCCCGCCCCCCTGATGCCTTTGCCATTTCCACAGCGTCGCCTGGGAGATGCAGCCAAGAAAGCCATCGGCAAGCTGACCACCAGGACCGTGAAAAAAGGAGATAAGGTACTGGGGGGTGGGGGGTGGGATGGGTGCCCAGGGGTGGGGGCGGGCTTTGGGGGCCCACAGCACTAGATGGGGCAGTGGGGGGGGGCCAGGGAGGAAAATGCTGATGGGAACGCAGTACAGTCCATAGGGTAGCATCCCTGGGTTCACCTGTGACCCCGACACCACCGGGCCAGCTCTGTTGATGCACGTGTCTGCCCACCTCCTGGACACCCCACTCTGTGCCAACCCTAGGTCCCCACCCGATGCTCTCAGGAGCACTGGCAGAGCCTTTGTCTGATCTCTCTGCCCCATTCGCACCCTGTCCCCCCACTCTGGGGTCGGTTATAGAGGTGGTTTACGGGGTCGAGCCCCGGGACAGCAGGCAGGTGCTTGCCTTGCATGTGCCAGACCCGGTTTGATGCCAGCACCTTCTGTGGTCCCCCGGACACTGCCAGGAGCCAGGAGTGGGCCCTGCGCCTCTCCAGGTGTGGTGCAGTGGCTCAGTACATGGCTTGCGTGCAGGAGGCCTCAAAAATGGGAGAGATATATTTGGGGGGGGGCGAGTAGGGAGGGCGGCGGGAGAAGGGGGGTCACAGCTGGCAGTAGTGTTGGGGGCTACTCAGGGAACACTTCCAGAGGTGCCAGAGATCGGAATGAAACCAGGGTCAGTCCTGATCATTACCAGGTGTGACCCCAAAAGCCAAAGGAGAAAAAAGGTCCAAAACTGAATCGGTGCAGGGGCCAGAGCAATAGTATAGTAAGTAGGGTACTTCCTTACATGTGGCCGACCTGGGTTTGATCCCCGGCATCCCGTATGGTCCCTTGAGCACTGCCAGGAGTAATTCCTGAGTGCAGAGCCAGGGGTAACCCCTGAGCATCACTGGGTGTGAACTAAAATGCGAAAAGACAAAATCAAACAAAAAGCCCTCAAAAAACAACTACCTTGAGTCAATAGGCTCCAGAGTCGTTTGGGTTGAAACATTTGAGCAAAGGGAGAAGCTGCTTTCTGGAGACCCTTCCGTTTTGCCAGCCCAGCGGCTCCAGGGCCAGGTGTCTGGGTGCCACAAGAGCCATGACCAGCATGTGACCGTGTCCCCTGGTTCTACAGGAGACAGACCCGGACTTCGATCACTGTGCCGTGTGCATCGAGAGCTACAAGCAGAATGATGTGGTCCGGATCCTCCCTTGCAAGTAGGTCCCGCTCACGCTGGAGAGCACCCCCCCGCCCCCCCCCCCACCCCCGGCCGTGTTCTCCTCTGGGGCCCCTGCAGTGTCCAGGGATCCTGTTCCTTCTTCCTGTCTGTCAGGCTCATATTTTATCCAGGTTCAAAATCATTTTGTTTTGTTTCATTCTGGGGCCGCACCTGGCAGCGCTTGGGGTTCTCTTCTGGCTCTGTATACTGGGGTCACTCCTGGTGGTGCTCAAGGGACCTTATAGGGTGGTGAAAATTGAACCCAGGTCAGCAGTGCACAAATCAAACACCCTGCCTGCTGTTATCTTGCTCTGGTGCTCAGGTTCCATATGAAAATGCTGTGACCAAACTGTGAGATAGGATAGGAGCTAAGGGATCGGCTTTGTACTTGGCCAGATCCTGGTTCGATCCCTGAACACCCCCAGTAGAGACCCCTGAGCACAGAGCCAGGAGTGAGCTCTGAGCACCCCCTGGGTGTGGCCCACGAAGCAAAAAAGAAAAAAGAAAAGAACATGAAATACTTGGGCCTTTTTCTTCAATCAGTGCAGCCTGCTCATCTGCCACTTGCAGAAGTGACAGATTGTCACTGTGGGGGCCAGAGTGATAGCACAGCAGGGAGGGTGCTGGCCTTGCTGGCGGCTGACGTGGGTTCAGTACTTGCACCCCGTATGGTCCCGAGCCTGCAGGAAGTGATCCCTGTGTGCAGAGCCAGGAGTTCTCCCGAGCCTCAGTGGATGTGACCCCCCAAAACAAGCTAACAAAAAATTGTCGATGGGCACCTGGCTCAGGAAGAGCTTATTTTTACATTTCATTGTGGTTTGGGGGTGCCGGCTAGGGGCAGGAACCTTGCAGACAGGGTTGGAACCTAGGATTTGCCTGAGATTCCTTCCCCCTAACTCCGCCCCTCCCTCACCCCTCTCCCCGTGCCGTCTTCCTGGCCCCTGTCCAAGACAACTGTTAAGTGTTTTGGTTTTGGGGGCCACACCTGCTGGTGCTCAGGCATTACTCCTGGCAGGCTCAGGAGACCGTATGGGATGCCAAGGATTGACCCTGGGTCCTACTTGCTATTCTGTGGCTCCAGCCCATGAGCCTTCTTAATTCTTCGGGTAGTTCTTGCTCTGTCCCGTTTGTTTGGGATCTCTCTCTGGATTCCACTTTTCTTACTTGAGTGATATTAGAAAACATAATTCCTGTTTGCAGCATAATTTTCCTTAATTTAAAAAAAATGGGGGGGGGGCTGGAGTGATAGCACAGCGGGTAGGGCATTTGCCTGGCACGTTGCTGACCCGAGTTCGATTCCCAGCATCCCATATGGTCCCCCGAGCACCGCCAGGAGTGATTCCTGAGTGCAAAGCCAGGAGTAACCCCTGAGCATCGCCAGGTGTGACCCAAAAAGCAAAAAAATAAAAATAAAAATGGGGAGCAGAGAGCTGGTGGGCTTGATTTGGTGAACAGCAACACGCCCAGATACCACCCGTGATTCTCGTCAGTTTCACAGTTTGGGGTGCTGTTAACTCATGGCTTTGGTGCCCTTTGGGATTCTTCGTGTCCTTCAAGACTTGACGGCAAGAAAACATGAGTAGTTTCTGGAAGAGGGGCAGGATTATGCCAGTTCAGGGTTTCCTCCAGTGTTCAGTGCGTCCAGAGCTTGGGGCACATCCACTAGTGGGCACATCTGACACTGGAGCCAGGTGTGGGGGGGAGTCCTGTGTTGGAGGTGTGGCCACATCCTGCATCTTTCGGTTTCTCTGCAGGCACGTGTTCCACAAATCCTGCGTGGACCCTTGGCTCAGTGAGCACTGCACCTGCCCGATGTGCAAACTGAACATTCTGAAGGCGTTGGGCATTGTGGTAAGGCTGGGGAGGGGCGTGGCGCCATCAGGCGGTGCACTGTGGCCCGGCCCCCTGATTGTGGGAGGGAGGTGCTGGGCCTTTGTCTCTTGGTGGGGATATTCCTGGTTCTGTGCTCAGGAGCGCCCCCTGGTGGTCCTCAGGCAGCAGACACAGGCCAGCACCTTGATGAACCCAATCCTCCCCAGCTCTGGGAAGGCCTTGTCCCACACCCACCCTCGAAGGATGGCCAGGCCATGATTTAAAAAAACAGAGTGATAAGATCTAGATCAGCCCTCAGCGGGCTGAGTATCGCTGTTGCTGCAGAGTCCTGGCATGGCGTGGGTCCCAGCCCACCAGGAGCAGCACCTCCCTGCTCAGTCCCTGAAGTCACCCCAAACCCTTCACAGGGAAAAGCTGTCTTTTTTCTTACTCCCCGATGGGCCCTCTCAGGGGCTGGTCCCCGTGGTCCCCAGGGGGCACATGGATTCAGGGAGGGAGCTGGGGGCTCCCGCGGGCAGAGCTCTTCTCCCCAGCCTCTCTGCAATAGACTGTGACAGTCCATGAGTCATTTTCAGGGGGAAATTTTATTTCCAGAAAAGTTCTTGGGCAGAATGGTGAAGAGGCAAACATAAAAAGAAAAAAGAACAGTGAAGAGGCGATGGGGGGAGAACTTAGCAGTGGGCCCAGGACCTTCCTGGGGAGCCTCTTATTTGGGACTGGGCTGGGGCGGCGGCTGGGATCTCCTCGTGGGGCTCAGGGGATCCAGGGGAGTGTCGGGATCCAGCCCGGGCTGGCCATGTGCCCGACTTGTGCCCTCCCCATCGCCCTGTCACTCCAGCCCCCAGGGGACTCCAGGCAGTTCCCGCTCAGCCCTCACAGTGCTTCTCACTGATCCTTCTCGCAGCCCAACCTCCCGTGCACAGAGAACGTGGCGCTGGACGTGGAGCGGCTGACGCGCACCCAGGCCGTGAGCCGCCGGGCAGCCCCGGGCGAGCTGGCGGGCAGTGACACCTCGCTGGGCCTGGAGCCCCTGCGGACAGCGGGGATGACACCCCTCCCCCAGGACGGGGAGCTGACGCCCCGCACAGGAGAGATCAACATCGCGGTCACAAGTAAGCACGCGGGCCGGGCCTGGGTTGTGTGTGCTTACTGCGTGTATGTGTGTGTGTGTGTGTCCGGGAGCTCTGGGACCCAGGAAGGGGCCAGGGCTCAGGGGCTGCCGCCCGCGGGAGGGAGTTGGGGGGAGGTGTGTCTAGGAAGGGCTGGGAGGGGCTGGCCTTTCCCTGGCCACCGACACCCTCCAGGGAGCCCCTGGGCTGGGGCTCTCAGCCCTGACGTGGCCAGTCCCCTGCCTGCCCCGGGGCCGTCAGGGTGTCGCGCAGAAGACGGCAAAGAGGAGGGGACCCACCTGAAGAGTGCAGGGGCTGGTCCTCAGGCTGATGGTGGAGCAGAAGCTGCTCTATGGGGGGGCCGTGTGCGGGCATGGTGCGGGTGTGAGAGCCTGCGTGCGTGCGTGCGTGCGTGCGCGTGTGTGCGAGGGTGTGTAGGTGTGCACGGGCATCCGAGCGCGTGCCCACATGCTGCCTTCACCTTATCTTCATGCTCATTGCTCCTGCCGCCCCATCTAACACCTTCCACTCAGCCTCTGCCTTCATGTCACTCTTGCTCGCCTCTCGCTTCCGGCCCCCTCACTGCGCCGCCGCAGGTCCCCCCCGACCCTACCCGGGGAACCCCAACACCCCAGGCTCCGCGTGCTCGTGCTCGGCCCCCGGGGAAGCACATTTGCCTCCCGCTGTCAGGAGCCGTGCCCTGTGTCAGGGAAGGGAAGACATGCGTGGCGCCGTGAGCCCACGTTGCCCCCCTCCCCTTGCTCGGGCACGGTTGGAACCCCTGTTCCTGGGGTCCCGGTTTGGCACCCAGCTCTGCTGGGGAAGGTTCCCGAAGGTCGCTGTTGCAGGGACAAAGGGCCCAGGTGAACTCCAGAGCGTTTAATGAGCCCCAGTGGGGCGGGACGGCAGTGGCCCCTGCCTTGCAGGAGGGCGTTGCACAGGCTGGGGTTCGGGGAGCCACAGGGCAGGGCACTCTGGGGCCCGCATCACAGGGGCCAGGGCACCACGCGAGCCAGGGCCTGCCACTGGGTTTGCCCTGGATGCCCGCAAGCCCAGAGGACCTTGACCGCGGTTCAAGCGCTCCCCACTGGGGGAGGCTGGACTGATCTCCCCGCCATCCAGCGCCGAACGGGGTGCGGCACACACCACCACAGCCTCACTGAGACCTGGAGTATGTGTGGAGCGAGGGAAGGAGGCGGAAGTTCCCAGGTGCTGCCACGGGTCCCCGTTTGTCAAAAATGCTGCTTGGGGTGGGATTGGTGACAATGAGGACGGCACTTGCCTGGCGTGCAAGGACCCGGGTTTGAGTCCCGCAGCAGCATTTGGGTCCCCGGAGCCCTGGCAGGAAGGATCCTTGAGCCCTGGAGCCAGGAATCAGCTCTGAGCACTGCCCGGCATGGCTCCCAACCAAACACACTGAAAACCCGATAAAGGAGGAGTTCGGGTGAAGCGTTTCCTCGGTCAATTCCCAGAAACTCGTTGAGACGCCTCAGAAATGCTGCGTTTCTTCCTGGCCTTCAGAATGGTTTCCCGAAATGTCCCTCCCTGGTGCAGTGCCCAGTTCCCAGAAGCCGGACCAAGAGACTCAGCGGCTTGTCCTCCACACACGTCCGTGGCCGCCTCCCCACGGCCTGGAAGACCCTCACTGTCTGCCTCACCACCGAGGCCTTTCCCAGCCTGACTGGCTTGGTGTCACCTCCAGGGAAGAATGTCATGCTTCAGATGCGTCTCAGGAAAGCCCAGCATGGGGCCCGGGCAGCTTCGTGCCTTCTCTGTTGGCTTCTAGAATGTCCCATGCCCCACGTTGCTTCGGGACTCGTCTGTGACCTATGAGGACTTGGACGAGCAAAGGCTGAAACTGGAACGAAACTCATGCCGTGGAGCTGAGAGCAGGCAGAGCGTCGGTCCGAGCAGGCCAGACACCGCGAGGCTGCAGGAGAGCTGGGGATGCGCTTGACCCCTGGCACTTCCTAGGGTCCCCCAGCCCTACCAGGCGTGATCCTCAAGCACAGAGCCAGGAGGAGGCCCAGATCCCCAAATGGGCCCACCAACCAGAAGCAGCAGGAACTCCAGCCGAGGCGCAGGGGCCGCCCCGCCCAGGGTGCCCGCACAGGGCCACCCGCCAGGCTGCCTCGGAGGTGCCCCGCCCGCTCACTGCGAAAGGCTGTGTGGGTGTCACTGGGCGTCACGGCACCCGCTCCACCTCGGGGCCTCTCCGGACAGAGATGGGACCGGTCCGTCCCCACTCACCCACCCGCTCCCCAACTAACAATCCGCACTGCCTCACCCAGCCCTCCCACCCTGCTCTTCCTCCGCTGCCCCTCCTGCTCCCCCCGCCCCTCCTTGTCCTGCTGCTGCTCCTCCTCTTCTTCTTCCTCATCCTGTTCTTGCTGCTCGTCCTCCTCTTCTTGCTGATCTTTCTGCTCTCCCTCCTCCTGCTCCTCCTCCTAATCCTCCTGCTCCTCCTCCTCCACCTTCTGCTCCTGCTCCTTCTCCTATTCCTCCTTCTCTTCCTGCTCCTCCTCTTCCTCTTCCTCCTCATCCTGTTCTTGCTGCTCCTCCTCCTCTTGCTGATCCTCCTGCTCTCCCTCCTCCTCCTCCTGCTGCTCCTCCTCCTCCTGCTCCTCCTGCTCCTGCTCCTCCTGCTCCTCCTCCGCCTGCTTCTCCTCCTGCTCCTCCTCCTCTTCCTCCTCCTGTTCTGTTCCTCCTCCTGATCCTTTTCTTCCTCCTCCTCTCCTGCTCGTCTTGCTTCTCCTGCTTTTCCTCCTACTCCTGCAGCTCCTCCTCTTCTTCCTTCTCTTCCTCCCCCTGTTCCTCCTCCTGCTCCTCCTCCTCTTCCTGCTCTTCCTCTTCCTGTTCTTCCTCCTCCTCCTCTTCCTCCTCTCCCTGTTGCTCCTCGGCCCCTGCAGTGCTGAAGGGCATCGGGGCGCCTGCACCTGCTCCCCGGTGACTGGCCCTCTCTTTGCCAACAGAAGAGTGGTTCATTATCGCCAGTTTTGGCCTCCTCAGTGCCCTCACGCTCTGCTACATGATCATCAGAGCCACTGCTAGCTTGAATGCCAACGAGTAAGTAGCAAACGTTGGGGGTGGCGCGAGCCAGACCGAGCCTGACCCACTCCAGGTCTGACCTGTCCCTTCATCTCGCTCTCTCGGTCCTCTCTCCTCTCCCACCGCCTCCTCTCGTATCTGAGCTGGGGGACGGGTCAGTCGATCCCCTTGGCGGGAAGGACTCGCCCAGGGGCCTTGTGACCCTAGGGAGGGCGGGGTGGGCGTCAGCCCTCACCCAGGCGCGTCCCATCCCACTTCGCTTGTGGTCTGACCCCTTAGCTCATGCTGAAATGTTGCATCTGACCCTAGCCTGTGGGCAGTGGCAATAAAGCGGACCTTTAGTGTGCAGGATGTCAGATATCAGAAACCCCCGCCCCCATCTCCAGCTTTTAGGAAAAACTCGGGGCAGGAAGCTTAGGGCCCCCAGTATTTCCACTGGGTGGAAGGAAGGCCAAAGAGAAGGTTTTAGAAGCCAAGGAGGTGTAGTCCAGGAGAAAGTTCTGGAAGGCATGAGCAGGTGTTAGCCCAAGAGAAGATTCTGGAAGGCAAGCACATGAGCACAAGAGGGTTGAGAAAGGTGATCTGTGTAGTGCAAGAGAAGGCTCAGGAAGGCAAGCAGGGGTTAGCCCAAGAGAAGATTCTGGAAGGTGAGCAGGTAGAACACAAGAGAAGGTTCTGGAAGGCGAGAAGGAATCTTCTAAGCCAAGGTTCCGGAAGGTGAGCAGGTGTCTGAGAGAAGGTTCTGGAAGGCGGGCAGAGCTAAGCGGGTCTCTGAGGTGAGGCAGCTGGACAGGGCGTGCCCTGCAGGACATGGGTCTGGCTGCTGTCTGGGAGCCTTGGGGGATGGTGAGTAGCCCAGAGCAGTCAGTGTCCCCCAGAGGTGCAGGCGGCTCCAGTGGCCTCCCTAGTTTGGGGGCTGTTCCTTGCCCGAGACTCCATAGAGAGGGTCCCCCCACTCCCATCTCAGGAGCTGGCCCAGATCCAAAGGTCAGTGGGGTCCAGTGTTGGGGTCAGCCAGACTCGCGCCAACCTCGGCCGACTGGACCTCGGGTGTGGGAGAGATGAGGGGTCCAGATCCGATTAGAAGGTGGGGGCCAGTACCTGTCTCTGCCCAGTGCTCAATAAGATCCTGGCCAGCCATTGGCTTGGAAGAAAGTGAGGGCCAGAACCTGTCCCAGTGCGGCCAGGGATACCCTGAAACTAAACCCGGAGCCGAGATGTCAGACCTGAGCTCCCCATGCAGCCCCGGACCCACCTGTCGGGCCCCTCGATGTCTTTGCTGACTCCTGGAATCTCTGGGTCACCTGCAGAATCAGCTAGCCTGGGTGGGGGGAGCTGGTACCTCTAAGGGCATCACCCAGCGTGGCAGTTCCTTAGCATAAATTGGGGGCGGGGGAGAGCCAGGGTTGCAGCCTCCCCCGTGTTCCCGCTACCCGACAGCACCCACATGCCCTGCGCCTGTGGCTGAGGGCTTACATCCCTGCATTGGTGCCACCCACTGCCACAAGCCGCGGCTCCCAGGGCCATGGCTGCTGTCCATGTGCGTAGCTGCCGCTTCCATGCTTCACTGGGGGCGTCCATGATCCCATTGGGGGGCTGGAGAGGGAGAGAGAGAGGGAGAGAGAGGTGTGTGCTCTTGGATGCGTGAAATGCAAGTTTCCGTGGTGATTCTCTGAATTCCTTTGAATTTGGAGGGTGGGAATGTTTTTCACCTCCTGATTGCTTTTGTAAGGGGAGAGGTGGGTTTTTTTTTGGGAGGGGGCCACACCCAGCGATGCTGAGGGGTTACCCGTGAGGACTGTATGAGGCACCGGGGATTGAACTCCCGGCCAGCACTCATGAGGCAGGCACCCTACCTGCTGTACTATTGCTCCAACACTTTTTTATACCAGCTGTGACTTAATTTTGAGGGCGGGAGTGGTTGAAGGGCCGCAGCTGGAGATGCGCAGGGCTTC